TGAAAAAAAAAATTTTTAACATGAAATATTAATTTTAATGAACAGAAAAATTTAAAAAAACAATAAAACAATAGAAAAAACACAATATTTAATTGATACTTCCCTTTAAATAAAGGGTTCTGTGTTTGATTGAGGGGAAAGGGAGGAGGGGAGAGTGCCCCGGGGTTTTTTAATGTTAAAAGGGGGGAAAATCGCTGTTTTGTAATCACTTTTTGCCCCTTTTTGGAAAAAACAGCTTCCTTGATTGGCCTTTTTCCCTGCTCACTATAGTAGAGAGGGTTTGATTGGGTTTACTATACAATTTGGGCCCAGGTCCGAAAACTTTGCACCCCACTTTCATACTTTGAAATTTTTCTCTTTTTCATTTCAATGGGCTTACCCCCCCTTGGTCTCGAGGGGTTTGGAACTAGAACCTTTCTTGGGGCCCATGGGGGTTATTTTGCAAAAAAACAAGCCCAAAAACGTGATAATATGGAAATGACCAAATGTATCCTTAGATGCGCGCACCCCTGGCCACAGGGGGCGGGTTCAGGCCACAGTGGACACGTCTTTTTCGAACGTACGCATCCCGGGAAACCGAGGAAAAATTTTTTGCGAAAAAGGCTTCGGAAAAACCGTTTGCCCCCCTTCGCAACCTGGGGCCCACTGTAAAATATACACACATACCTTTCCCGGGTTTTTCCCCTTCAATTTTCTTACTAGTTTTTGTTTTTTTCCCCTCTTATCTCCATGGGGAAAGGGGGAACAGAATTTTTTCCCCAAAACCATGCATTTCTTTAAGGGAGCAACAAAAAACGGGGAACAAGGGGGTATAACCCCCCCTCCTGGGTTTTAAATTTCTAAATTGGGCCACCCTGGCCCGGTGGGGTTTTTTGGCCCGGGTTTTTTTAAAAAAAAAAAACTTTTTATGAATGAAGTACTGGGGGAAGGGATTCAAGGAAACCGGGGACCTTTAGGCGGGAAATTTAAATGTCCCGTGCTTTGAAGGGAAAGGGTAAAGATAGCGCAATTGTTTAACTGGGAGTATCAGCACCCCCTCCGGGAAAAACAGTAATTTAATGGTGATGATGAAAAAATTTTTTTTTTTTGCATAAACCGGCCCCCCAAAAATGGGGGTGGGCCCCATTTGGTTTAGCCCCTTAAAATTTCCCCCACATAGATATACATGACGTGTGCAGCGCTCCGAAAGTATATTGGTTTTTTTTTTATCCCTTCAAATTTGGCGTGAAAAGGCCTGATTCGCCAAGGGCATGAAAGAAAGGGTTTTGTGCACTCAGGGGTGCACTTAAAGAAAAAAATTTCTGACCACTTGGGGCCTTGTGGGGGGAGCCCCAGGTTTAATTGAGCGCCAGCTAGAGCAAATAGCGTGGCAAACACCAGTGATTCACTGATGTCATGTCATATTAACACTCACATTTTAAGAGGAGAGTAAAAATAGGTTAGATAAATGCATGAGTGGGCATGGGTGGGTGTGAGTTGTACTTGACTAGCTTGTGCTACTAGGTCAGATGTCGTGCTCCTTCTTTCAGTGGATGTGACCTGACTAGGTGGGTCATTGGTCTAAGCCAGGGGGGTAACATGGACTTGCCTTGCATGAGCCAGAAGGCCTGCCACAGTGTTCCTTCTTTCTTAAGTTCTTGCGTATTCAGCTGCCTGGCTGGCTTTGGCTGTCTCTGTCTGTATCTATATCTCTGTCTATCTGTCTATATTACTATATCTGTATCTGTCTATATCTCTGTCTCACATGTACTCATAAATACAGAGCCTACACCTGGTCAAACATGTCAAGAAATTAGAAAAAGTGCAAAGGTTTGCAACAAGGCTGGTACCAGAGCTAAAGGGAATGTCCTATGAAGAAAGGTTAAGGGAAATCGGACTGACGACACTGGAGAACAGGAGGGTTAGGGGAGACATGATAACGACATACAAAATACTGCGTGAAATTAATAAGGTGGACAGAGACAGGATGTTCCAGAGATGGGACACAGAAACAAGGGGTCACAATTGGAAGTTGAAGGCTCAGATGATTCAAAGGGATGTTAGGAAGTATTTCTTCAGCCACAGAGTTGTTAGGAAGTGGAACAGTCTGGCAAGCAACGTAGTGGAGGCAGGAACTATACATAGTTTTAAGACAAGGTATGATAAAGCTCATGGAGCAGGGAGAGGGAGGACCCAGTAGCGGTCAGTGAAGAGGCAGGGCCAGGAGCTGAGTCTCGACCCCTGCAACCACAATTAGGCGAGTACAGTTATTATACATAATGTAAATTACCTAGGATAACCCAAAAATTCCAGGCCAAGTACTATACAGTGTTTGTATTTTTTTTTTTTTTCAACAAACCAGCTATATCCCACCAAGGCAGGGTGGCCCAAAAAGAAAAACGAAAGTTTCTCTTTTTAAATTTAGTAATACGTATATAAGAGGTTACTAGCCCCTTGCTCCCGGCATTTTAGTCGCTTCTTACAACACGCATGGAGGTAAGAGGAAATAAAACAAGAACAAGAACCAGAAAGAAAATGGAAGAAAGCCCAGAGGGGTGTGTATATATATGTTTGTACATGTATGTGTAGTGTGACCTAAGTGTAAGTAGAAGTAGCAAGACGTACCTGAAATCTTGCATGTGTATGAGCCAGAAAAAAAAAAGACACAAGCAATCCTACCATCGTGTAAAACAATTACAGGTTTCCGTCTTACACTCCCTGGGCAGCTGCTGTCTACCAACCTACTACCTACGTGTTTGTAAATATAAGACATAAATAAACATGACAAATAATAGCAGTGTCACTTGCTCAGCAATCAGGGCGGCCCATACACCACAAACCAACAGGTGTACTAGCCGCTCCCTGAGACAGAGACAAGCAGATGAAAAGACAACACAGGCAGACAGAAAGACAGATAGCAGAACTAGACAGACAGATAAGCAGAGCTAGACACAGATAAACAGAAGATGTACAGATAGACAGACATACAGAGACATGTTTATGTGCAAAAGTAAAAACATATGAAGGCAAGGGCCCCCCCTCCAGCAGTGCACATTCATCAAAAGTCACTTGTTATCTGATGCTTGTCATAACACCATTCTTCAAGAGTTACATACTCCAGCATGTCTAAAACATTGCTGGCACCTATAAATACTTTGTATATATTTCTAGACAATAGTAAATGACCAAGGCAAATGAAATGTTCACCTGTCAGTGTGATTGTTACTATTTGAGTACTATTTCAGTATGTAATATTAGTGTCAGAACAAAGATTGGCTATGAAATCACAAGAAACTATTATAAATTGTAATTATCAGAACATAAAAATTAATAAATTAAAATAAAAACGAGGAAAAAAAGGTAAATCGGCAACACTTTTGCAAGCAGCAGGACTGGATGTTGCCGTCAGGTTAGCATCCAGAGCCAACTTCGTGGTCTTATATCTCGCTAAGTACTGGTCATAATTTTTTTTTTTTTTTGGGTCTATACCACACAGAAAATTGCCCTCTTTAATTTAAAAACAAAAAAAAAATTTTTTTTTTTCAAAATATTCAGAGTGCCACGCAGGTGAACGTAGATCTACGTTTGGACAGTTTAAGGGTTAACCTTTTGACTGTCGCGGCCATATATATACGTCTTATGAGGTACAGTGTTTGACGTATATATACTCAAATTCTAGCGGCTTCAAATCAAGCAGGAGAAAGCTGGTAGGCCCACATGTGAGAGAATGGGTCTGTGTGGTCAGTGTGCACCATATAAAAAAATCCTGGAGCACGCAGTGCATAATGAGAAAAAAAAACTCCGACATTTTTTTAATTAAAATGCCGACTTTGTGGTCTATTTTTGTGTAGTATTTATGGTTGTATTCTCATTTTCTTGGTCTCATTTGATAGAATGGAAAATATATTATAGAACTAGTGGTGATTTTGACTGATTTTACTATAAAAAGAACCTGAAAATGGAGCACAAAGTACGGGAAATGTTTGATTTTTGCCGATGTTCAAAAGTAAACAAATGATGTCATTGTCCAATAAATGTCCAAATAGCCATTCTAATATGCAGTCATGAATGGTTTGATGTTATTTATACAGTTATTACAGTATTGCAGTAGTCTGCATAACAGTAAATCTATTTTTTGTTTGAATAAAATTTCAAAATAGAAAGCAAGAGTAATATCAGAAGGGCCTGGGATGTGACTGATGAACAAAGAAAATGTTATTTTAGAGCCAGGAATGTCTGTATTGTTCATTCTGGTCCATATTTGAAATTGTCATATTTTTTAATTTTCGTGAAATTGGCCAAATTGCAAATTTCTGACCACGTTATTGGGTAGTTGAAATCGGTAAATGGGCACTTTCTTGTACTCAATCGATAGAAAAAAAATGGAGTTCTGAAGAAATAGCTATGAGTTTGGTTGACTGGAATAATGGAATTAGCCGAAAATAGGGCTCAAAATGGGCGAAATCGCCGATTTGTAAATATCGCCGAGGTCGCTAACTTCGCGAGAGCATAATTCCATCAGTTTTCCATCAAATTTCTTTTTTTTGGTGTCTTTACAATCGGGAAAAGATTCTCTATCATTTCATAAGAAAAAATATTTTTTTTTTTTAAATTTTGCGACACCAGAAGACACCTCAGGATTGGGGGTTGTGACAGTCAAGGGGTTAAAAAAAATAGCTTTTACAAAATTGGAGACAAGAAAAGCCTGTAGTTGTGCAGAAGAGAGGATAATGGTGCTCAGCATATAATCTACCTCCAGCTAAATTTTCATTTTGCATGGAGAATAATAGACAAAACTAATAACAACAAGGCAGACTCATGCATATAGAAATATAAAGTTTTACAAGGAATAAGGAAGAAAATACATTTACCTCTCATGGTAAAGCTGCCCCTCTTTGACCAAGAATAAAAAAAAGTTACTTAGGAGAAAAGATTTTCAAATACAGTACATACAGTACTTTACACATACAGTAGTACTGCATAAATTCAACACATTGAAAAACAAAAGTTCCTGCACTAACCATTTAGGTTTAAACACAGCTCTCTGGCCACCTTTGAGTATGATTGTAACCTTAAGTTGAGTGCCTTTGTATCCTACATCAGCAGCTATGATGGGTGCAGTAGCGAGGGCAGCTAGCACATCTCCCAAGCCACGAGCTGAACTGGGAATCAGCGATCTTGGACTGGCCCACTGTAAGCATTTTTGTAAAGAATTATAGCTCTTGCTATTTCTAGTAAGACACCTGCTTCAAGCAGCAACTTATTTATTTATAAATGCATTAGCAAAACAATTTATACTATGACTATTTCATGCCTCGTGCTTCACTAATTCTATCACATGCTAACATATGTTGGTCACACAAGCAACCTACTTACTTATACAGTGGACCCCCGCTTAACGATCACCTCCCAATGCGACCAATTATGTAAGTGTATTTATGTAAGTGCGTTTGTACGTGTATGTTTGGGGGTCTGAAATGGACTAATCTACTTCACAATATTCCTTATGGGAACAAATTCGGTCAGTACTGGCACCTGAACATACTTCTGGAATGAAAAAATATCGTTAACCGGGGGTCCATTGTACTATGCTCACTATACACACAACCTCAGCCTATACACATGTATTTCTCATTACTAAAAGTGTATCTTATGCACACATCATACAATGTTTAAACTCTTGTACTGCCAACCTTAACTTAACTACTGCAAAACTACACCTCAGTCAAGCTCTCTTAATGATTCCAATTGATATTTAACAAAATTTCAAAAAATAAGTTGCAATATATTTTTGCCAAAAATTTTATTAACCCTTTGAGGGTCGAGAGCCTCGATCCTGAACTCATTCTCAGGGTCGAGAAATATTGGAAAACAAAAAAAAAAATATTTCTTACCAAAATCTTAAGAAAAATTTTCTAAGAGTTACAGGCCAAATAAAAATTTTCTGCGATCAATACTTACCGATATAGAGGCATGAAGTTGACAAAGTGAACCGCTTATGGCAACATCGCCAACTGCCGGTCACTTGCTAATCTTATATTTACTATTATTCTTTTTCTTTTATTTTTTAATATTTTATTTTTTCAAGTAACTTTTATGGTTTATGAGACCAATATAAGACATACTGTACATGTATATTCACTGCTATATACAACACAATAACCTCACAAATAGTTATCATTGTATTATTTACAAAATATGTACACACAAACCAACAATAAAAAAAGTTGTTTATTACTTTTATTCTATAATATATACAGCAGGGCCCCGCTTTACGGCGTTTCACTTTACGGCGTTCTGCTAATACGGTCATTTCAAATTATGACCAAAACTCGCTATACGGCTCCCCCCCACCTGACTTTCTAATACGGTCACCGCGCCCCACCTTGTTTGTTTACATTCTTCGTGAGCTCAGTAAGCACTAAGTCTCTCCATTTTGTCTGGAAACTCCAAAATTTCAAATGTTTTTAAAAGTTATTTCATATTTTATATATACTCTGACAATTATACTTATGTATACCTGTACTTAAATAAACTTACATACTGTGCTGGCATGCAGGTACACATTAAAATCAGTAAGAGTGTCTTATGTCTCCAGACGTCATATTAGTAATGATAATAATAATCATCGAGTCTCATTTAAATGTCGTATATTTACGTTAAATACACATTTTCATTAATCCATCTATGATATTTTTTCAAAATTATATAATAAACATGATACATAACATAAAAAGATGATAAATACACCCTACAATAGAATAAATAAACATAAATATGAGATGTTATAGCCAGATAACTTGTACAAGTGATGCCAAGAATAACATTTTCTCTAATCTAACATAAGAGAAAATGTGTTACTGGGGGTAACTGTAGAAAATTACTCCTTTCGTATGTATGTAAGTTTATTCAGGTATACACAAATACAGTTACATAGATTATAATACATAACATATGTGTAGAGAACCTAGGATAACCCAAAAAAGTCAGAGTGACTTATTTCCATTGCCTTCACTCAGAGCATCATTTCTTCTCAAAATGATGTTACATGAGAATGGCAGTGTTCTTCTTTATTTATTCTACCGTATCAATGTAGAGACAACCTGTACACAATGTAATTTGTACACAAACCAGACGTGTACACTTCGTTTACAAAACTTACCTTCGCCTGGTTTGTTTACATAACTCTGCGCCTGTACTCTCTCATGCACTCATTCTTTCTCTCTCTCATTTATTTGTTTTATCTCATTTACTTACTCCTGACCCTACATTAAGACTACAAATATTTTAAGGTAAGTAATGAGTGAACTGTATATACATTTTATCGCTCTGGGATGCTTAAATATCATATATTTGTATGTGTGGGTGGGGTGGCCTGGTATGGTAGCCTGGCTGACTACCATACATACCACACTTGATTTCTTACAATAAATACTACTTGTCTCACCCTAGATTAAGACTATAAATATTTTAGTAAGTAATGAGTGCACTATGTGTGTATTGTACTTTTTTATTGTTTTTTGATGCCTGGTTCTATTGCTAACTTAATATATGTTAGTGTAAACTTGTTATCTAGTGTTTGTATGCATTTGTAAGTGGAAAAAAAGGGTGTTCCACTTTACGGCGGTTTCCGCTTTACGGCGGTTTCCGCTTTACGGCGGTAGCCTGGAACCTAACCAGCCGTATAATTGGGGCCCTCCTGTATACACATATATAGTCATTGGACACATAAGAACATAAGAATGGAGGAACACTGCAGAAGGCCTACTGGCCCATACAAGGCAGACCCTTATCAAAACCACCCTACCCAAAACTACCCAAGAATTAACTCCCATACCCACGACACCAATCAAACTCAGCCCACTCATATATTTATCCAGTCTCATTTTTGAGCTACCCATGGTCCTAGTCCTAGCCATAGGATCTAATCCTGCCAGTAAAATCCCACGTACCAACGCCCATGCCGGGGACTATCTAGATGGGAATTTCCCAAATTGCTGCTATCTTGTACCAACTGAGCCCACCGAAGTCACTGAGATTTATAAAGTCACTTAAAAATAAGTCAGGGAACCGTCTCATGTCCCACCATTATTGTACAAGCGAGCAGCCCATGTCCTTTTGCATGCTATTTCATTACTTTTTAACAAGTCACTAGAAACTAGCACCTTCCCGAAACTACTCAAGACAGCAAGAGTTACACCAATACAAAAGGTGGTGACCCTAGAGATGTAAACAACTATGGGCCAATATCAAACTTACTCATTGCTATCCAAAATTTTCGAGAAACTCGTGCACAGGAGACTGCATTCATTTATAATGGCACAAAACATACTCAACCCCTGCCAATTTGGATTCAGGAAAAATGAAAGCACTAATGATGCAATTGTAAAAAATGCTAGATCTGCTTTATACAGCATTGGAAAATAAGGAATATCCACTAGGAATTTTTATTGACACTAAGAAAAGCTTTTGACACAGTAGACCATGGCATCCTACTCCACAACCTTGACCATTATGGTATAAGAGGCCATGTGCTTGCATATTCAATCCTACCTTACTAATAGGTATCAGTATGTCACCATTAAAGACACAGCATCATCAACACGGCCACTTGATACTGGAGTTCCGCAGGGAAGTGTCCCTTGGACCCCTGCTCTTCCTCATTTACATAAATGATCTTCCAAACATATCCAACACCTGAAACCTATTCTCTTTGCTGATGACATGACTTATGTAATCTCTCACCCTAATCTTGCCACCCTCAACACTGCTCAAAATATCAACTTGGATGACAGCCAATAAACTTACACTTAACATTGACAAAACCTACTACAGTGGTCCCTCAATAATCGTCCATAATCCGTTCCTGGAAGTGGGACTATTATCGAAATGGACGATTTACGAATCAATTTTCCCCATAAGAAACAATGTAAATTCAATTAATCCGTTCCTGACACCCAGAAGTATTAAAACAAAAATTTTTTTACATGAAATATAGATGTGGTACATAAACAATACAGTAGCACATGATGAATTAAACATTAACAGAATAACACTTACCTTTATTGGCGATTCTTCTTTGTGTATGGAAGACTGGGAGAGGAGACTGATTGGATGAATTACTGTTTGGAAGGGGAATCCCCTTCCATCAACACCTTGGGTACCAATTGCTTTCTGGGGTTACTTCTCTTCTCTGTTTCTTATGCCACTAGGACCACCTTGAGAGTCACTGGAGTCCTGTCTCGCAAAAAAACTGTTCAGAGAGCTCTTGTTTCTGGCGTCTCTTTAAAACTTCCCTAAAATGGGCCAAGACTCTGTCCACTGTACAAGTTGCCGATATGGCTTGCAACATCCTTCTCTGGGTGATGTTTCTCCATAAATCTTTCATCCTACCCCACATTTCAAAAATCTCCTTAATTTCTGAAGAAGGCACCTTTCCTCCATCTCTCTTCCCCTCCTCTGCAGCAAGATTCGAGCTGCCATCTGTTGCGTTCCTGCTGAAGCTCTTGCAGCTCCTCAGGGGTTTAGCTCTTTGTTGTGGTCCTCCACCAACTCTTCCACATCCTCCAAACTCACACCCAACCCCATGGAAGCCCCCAGTGCCACAATGGATTTAACAACTGACATAGGCTCATCAGGGGTCAGCCCCAAACCCTTCACAATCCCTCTTGTGGACACAATCTGGCCACAATTTTCCCCAAGCAGAGTTCAAAGTCCGGGTTTTAGTAAACTCCGTCCCAAGCCTTACCTATAAGGCTTACACAATGGAGAATACTGAAATGTTCTTTCCAAAAATCTCGTAGGGTCAAGTGAGTGTCTGAGGTCACATTCAAGCACCTTTCAAACATTACTTTGGTGTAGAGTTTTTTAAAGTTTGCAATGACCTGCTGGTCCATGGGTTGGAGGAGAGGAGTGGTATTCGGGGGCAAAAACTTTACTGTGATGAACCCAAACTCCTTCAGAATTAAAGGGCATCCAAGTTTGGAGGATGGCAGGTGCATTGTCCATTACTAGGAGGCACTTGAGATCCAATTCTTTTCCAGGAGGTAATTCTTCACAAATAGGGCCAAACACTTCGTTAACCACTCTACAAAAATTTCCCTCGTGACCCCTGCCTTACTATTAGATTTCCAAAACACACACAATTTACTCTTCATAACATTGTTTTTCCTGAACACTCTGGATTTTCAG